AAACATTCATCAATATAGATTACTGTTAAAGCGTTTCAACCCAAAGGGAAGTTCAAGATTATAAAGATTTAACATATCTTTATAACAGCTACATCAATAAGGGCAAATGCCGCTTTATATTTTAATGCTGATATCTTTGTGTTTACACTTTACATTAATACTATAAAGGAAATTTGCTTGGTTTGTCTGAAGGGCTTTTACATAGTTGGGGGTGGGTGGGGTCCTAGTAGGCGGGGCTTCTCCTCCGTGGATGGAATAGGACTCCTGACGCAGGTAGAGCTGAGGATTATAAGGGTTAATCTGGGACCGCTGGCGAACTGGGACTTATTAGGTTACGGATGAAATAAAACTCGGGCGGAATAGGACATAACCCTTATAGTTGTCTATTCTAAATTCCTCGAGTTCTGTTTTCACTCGTCTTCCCAGTTCGTTGAGTTGCCTTTTAAAGTGTGGTAGACGGTATCGCTGCCAAAGTCGTCTAACTTTATGTTTTTCTCTAATAAGACGCATCATTCTCATTGGAGGATGATAGTAGTCGTTATTTTGTGTGGATTGTGAGGGATTTAAGATAGCTTTCCTGGCACAAGTTTTTAATGGTTCGGTAAATATTTTTACAGAGTTTTCTATTTCGATGCAAGACGATAATTTAGGCATACCTTCTAAACATTTACCTATTTCTGCACTGAAAATTTCCCAATTTATCTTTTCATTAATTAATCGTTGAGGTAGACAACTGAATTGAGGTTGCGTGAAGAAGGTTACTATAACGGGAGAATGGTCAGAGTCCAGCTCGGGTAAAACATTTTGAATGATTGGAGCTGTAAAGTTTTTGTGCAAAACCAAATCAAGTATATCTGGTTGATAATTAGGTTGCCATGGAAAATGTGTTGGTTCTTGTGGCGCATCAATCATTACGTTTGAGTTATTTGTGAGTCGTAACAAATGGTTTCCACTTGGATTTGTGGTTCTGCAACCCCATATCTGATGTTTACAATTTAGGTCCCCCATAACAACAGTCGAACAATTTTCTGCAAACAGCACCTGCAAGTCATTATTGTGTAGCCGTTTGTTCGGGAGTTTGTAGACAGAAATTAAGCGAAAGTCTGTACCATGACTTAAATTAATTTTTACACCAACAGCTTCTACTGAAGATAAACAAAAATATATTATCATAATAAAAATATATTATGATGGTCCAAAGTTCCTCGCACAAAAATTGCAACGCCACCTGAAGCTATTGGATTAGGCCTATCTTCCCTGTATATAGAGTACCCATTAACTTTGAAATTTTCCACATTGGTCAGGTGTGTCTCAGTAATACATGCAATATCGATGCTGTCTAACCATAAACGCGATAAAAGTAACACGTTTATCTCTAAGCCCATTGGCATTCCAGTTAAGGAGGGTTAAATTGATTTGATCAATTTGAGAGAATAGAGCTTATCACATTACTTATTATCTTTTTGAGAGTAGGAATAAACGATTTCAGCACATCAAGGATTATTTGTTCAAAGTTTTGAAACACAGACGTATCAGGAGCATCATCAGATTGTTCTTGTGAGAATGAATTATTAGTGTTGCGGCGGCTCGTAGCAGCAACTTTAGCAAAGGAAACTCGTGATGTAGAAGGTTCCTGAGGCGAAAAGTTTGTATGAATCACAGGAAAATGAGTAGCAGAATTCAAATCAGGGGGAGAAGGAGGATTTTCTTTTTTCTCAGTAGCGTTTTGAGGGCGATTGCGAGGATTACCCCGATTGTGATCTTTGTTGGTTATTTTCTGGTATACTTGACAACCTCTGTAGTTAGCTGTGTGGCTTTCACCACAATGAGGAGCTGCAGTTTTTTGTTTAGAACATTCAGAGTAGTGATGTTGACCAGTGCACCGCATGCACCTTGGGTCCAGCTTACAAAAGTTCTTCGTGTGTTCATAGCGTTGACATCGAGTGCATTAGGGAATTTGCCTAGATCTTCTTTTCATTTCGACACTTACAACTGCAAAACAGATTGTGGTTAAATTAAATATAGCTTAGCCGTCGTCGTTGTTTTCTAAGTCTACTGCACAAAGAGGGAGTGGAAGTTTTTTTTTTTTTTTTTGAGTAACCTAGTGACTCTAATGACAGGATAGTTTTGATCTGTTAGCTCAGTTTTAATTTCATTCTCAGATAATGATGTAGGAACGTTCCTGACAATCACTTCTAGTTTTTTGTCATGTAGGGGTTGAAAAGTATGATATTTAATGTTGGAAGAATCTTAAAAGGCTGTCAAATTTCTAAAGTCATCTATATTAGACAAGTTCACTTTAAGGGACTGCCCTCGAACTTGAGTTGAAAAAGTTGCCTTTACCATATTTCGGACGTCTTTTATTATTTCTTGGTGGTTGTTTACGTTGTGCAAAAATATAGGAGGGATTTTTAACTTTGGGTCATTTACTTGATTTTCCAAAGTAGAATCGTCCATCTCGTGTGATTGATCCACGTCATTGCCATTACCATTAGAACAATAAGAATGTTTAGATAGAATTTGGTATTAATTGCCTTTACATAGTTCACTTGAATCTAAAACATATAGTTTCGGTTGAGATTCAGAGGAAGAAAAGGTAAGTTTATGTTTTGGAAATACAAAATCATCATCAGGATCACTTACATTTTCATCAAAAGGCATAGCAAGGAACTTGTTTGTTTGTTGTACATTATACTTAGCTTTGTTTACATTAGATGTTGACATTCTTGTAACAGGAGGAGCTTGTTGGTTAGACCTATGTTTGAACAAAGTTTTATTGTTTACTTTAACTATTTCCGTGATACTATGAAACAAGTACAAAGAACAAACAAAGAATTTGTCACAACTTTAAAGAGAGACCGAGCTCAAAAATACGTAAAAAAAAAGATAATTATTCACAGAGCAAACCCTTGGAAGAGTGGACTGGTTCCAGATCTGGCCAGATCTGGGTGCCAGATCTGGGATGACATATCTGGACACATTCCAGATCTGGCGAGATCTGGCTAGATCTGGCACCCATTTTTGACCAGATATGGAATTAGTTCAGATCTGGCATCACAGATCTGATCATATCTGGCATCCAGATCTGACCAGATATGGAATTAATCCAGATCTGGCATCGCAGATCTGGTCATATCTCAAATCAAATCAAATCAAAATATCTTTATTCGTCATCTGTACATGCTTGGTACATTGAATAGTGTCAATGAGTAGCCTATATTACATTTAAAATATTTGTAACATAGGCCCTAAAATCTGGGATCCAGATCTGAAATTATTCCAGATATGGCACCAAGGTATGGCCAGATCTGAAATGAGTCCATATATGGCAACCAGATATGCCTGATCTGAGACAGACCTTTTAATATTAGTCGCACACACCAGAAATTGTAACACTTCTGATTTTTAGGCCTATTTGTTAAATTAATTTATTTTTAAAAGTTTATTTGAGAATAAAATTAATGTGACAAACAATGCTATGAAAAACATTTAAATTCAACAAAAAAAAAACAGTGCAATGGAAAACAAAAGACTAAATATGAATAGTATGCAATTCAATTCCTATGACAACAAATATTGGCAGCCCTTTTTTTGAACGAGAAATGTTTGAAAATTAATGTTCATAATTTAATAGTTAAATATTATACAATTGTTTAGATAGGGCTACTATTGTACCTATTTTAGTAAAACAAACTACAAAAATTAAGAAAATACCCCCGCCGCAGCAAACCTACAGACTAAGCAAATTTCCATTTGCCAGATTTTCAATTAAATCGCTATTTGAATAAAATTAGGTTTAATGAGTAGCCTACCTAGGTTTGCTGCTACAGGGAGGCTAATAAAGTGTGTTTATTAGTAAAATATTAACATCTAAGTATAACATATATTGAAAAATTTTGATAAAAATATATCCTTAAACAAGCAAATTACAACATACAACATTTTACAGTATTCTTGATGTCTTACAAGTACAATTACGAGACCTAATACAGCTTCTCGTATTAGTAATGGCTTTTGTTACAGTGTCTGATAAGAAGCGGCCGTGGTGTAGTGATCTGACTCCCACGCTAGAGTCCCTGGTTCAAATCCCGGTCGGACATATTAAAATTTTATTACGATTTTTTTCACTTTTTAATTTTTATAAAATTGTTAATGCATAGTTAATTAGGTTTAAATGTTAAAACATCTTATATTCTTTTTTCTTTTTTTAAAATCATTTTCTTTATGTGTAACTTAACACAGATCTGGTTTTTATGTTTCAAAATCAGATCTGGATTTTTTTAATCTGGCCAGATCTGGAACTTTTTCATAAGGGAAAAACAACACAGTCACTATAAATAAGAACCAGAGCTGTCTTTTCCATAACAATGTTTGTTTGCTATGTTAATCTGATGCAGATATACAAAACTTTAAAGGGCCCCAAGGCCTCACTCTCTAACTATTTCCCTATAAAGAAAGTTTACTGGCTACTCATACTGTCGGGGAAAAAAGTTTAGACACTCAAGTTTGGAGCTCTACAGAAAAGTTACCAAACTAACTTAGAAAAACACGTAGTATATATAAATTTCCGTTGTTTTATTCTACGTATTCCGGTGAAAACAAAATATTTTTTGCTCTCTTAGGAAATTCTTTTATGACAGTTGGAAGGTAAAAACTCCCTGTTTTTAGAGTATCAAAAACCATCTTATGACTTTGAAAATTCGCACAATGTTAACTAAACGTCAGAACTTTATCAGGCTTTAATACAATATAGACACATATATAATGAATTAATTTGTGTAGTTTCAGAATTTTTACTCTACCCAAAAAGTTTTTGTTGTAACTTTTGTAAATTAACTTTTTCTCAAAAACGGCAAACGCTAGAAAAATATTGAAAAGCTTGTTTTGAAGGCGATTGATTTTGTATTTGAAATATTGATACTGCTATATTTGTAGCTATTTTTGTAGCTAGCTAAAAAAGATAAAAGAATAGCGTTAACATGTATCATAAAATTGTACAGATACGAGCTGAGAAGGAGAGGGAAGTCCTCATAGCGGATTCTGAGCGGTCCAAGAAACAGCGGCTGAAGGGCGAGTTGGATCAGCAGAAGCAAAGGGCGGACTCACTGCAGCATGAGGTATACAACCAAATCATAAGTTTTATTTTTTATTAATGAATTTATTTCTTCATCCATAGCAGATTTTCAATTGATGGCATGCTCAGATCTAATCGCTTCATCATAATTTTTCGGTACTTCTTTTGTAAGTTTTGCAGAAGCTAAAAGCTAATTTTTATCTCTGTCATTGAGACACATGACAGAATCATCTCTATATCTCATAGGAATTTTTATTCCATCACGTTTTCTCAGGTTATAAGTCTCATCTTGTAATACATCACCTTGAATAGTGTTGAATACGTTTAAGGTGTCAAAAGATTCGTCTCAATATGTAGTTTTGCAATAAGGTTTTAAAATTCCCACTCTTAATGGCGTGAGACCCTCTCAAAGGTCGGGTTTTCCCCATAAGAAATACACAGAACAAATGTAAAAACAAAAAAAACAGATGTTTATAAAAAGAAACTCATTAGGTTTTTAGGAGTAAATATTAATGTTTGTAATATTCAGTAGGTTAAGATCAAGTTAAACAGTTAATCGTTTTGTTGGAAGAACAGAAAATGCCTCAAGAAAACGGGAGGAGGGGACGATTAATAATAAGATATATAATGCGTATGAGGAGAGTACAAAAAGAGAGACCTGGTCCAACAGATTCCCATCCAGATACAAATTCACTTGGTGAGATGAATAATATTTGACAGTTATGCTATGCAACTTACTTTGGAAGAAAAAAAATATATACGAAGCACATAGTGTTGTCACGGTGGTAAAGTAAACTTGCCTAATCACAGATCAAATGAATGCATGCAAGAAATGTTTACTTCTGACACGATAGATCGAGAAATTTCAAAACATTTAGTAGAAAATATAATAATGCCTTGACTATGATAAGTTCAAGTTGTAAGATTATTCCAAATCTTTGCGGACGTTATGTTTTTATTGTAAACTTTTGTATTACTCGGTCTACTTCAATTGAGAAAAACGCAAATGGATTGTTTACTTCTAGGTTATGTTGCCCGTTCCTCGGACAAACTTATACAAAGTTTTTGGACTGAATTCACCAACACAATCCAGACATTTCAAGTCGAAAAAAGAAGTTTCAAAAACTCATTTGCTATTGAAAGTTTTAGTGGCAATATTAGACCAAATATAAGTGGAGGAATTAGTGTTTATGTATTTAACGATCGAGTAGTTATGGTCAAGTTTATTCTTATTTCAGGAGAGGCTATATACACTTTTCAAAAAGAGAAAATGAAAATTAATATCCAAATTTTATAGCTACAAGAGTTATCCAACCTATTTCGACATAATCGAGAAATGAATCCATACTTTCAAAAAATTGGGACAGGTATTAAAAGAGGAATTCCACTGAACAACGTGAGAACGTTCTGATGCGGGGCATATACCGTGACTGACAGACAACACGTTAAAATACGTTAATCAACTTTCAATGGTGTTGCTGCTTAACTATTCAAAGCAGATTATGGCTGTCCAGTTGGTAACCCAGAGTTTGTAGTGAAAAATGGAGCACATGAAATGGTTGATATCACCCAACTTTTCAGGATTCTCTACGGAGAAAATTCGTTTGATTAAAGGGAAGTCTCAAATCAAAGAAATAAAATTACCCAAACTTAAACTACTTAACACAGGCAACAGTAAGGCAACAGTTTTCTTCAATGCTCAATGCTGGAAAAACTTTGTTGTAACATGTTAACTCGAATTGAAGCAGATCCTTTAGCATTCATTAGAAGTTATCCGTTATAACTGAGAGCAGAAATAATGTAGGTGAACCTTTTTTGCAATAGAGATATTTAAAATTAAGGTTTCTAACAAGTGTTTAAACAACTCTAAGATATGTAACTAGAATTACTCGAATTTAAGCATAACGTTTTCCTCGGAGTTATGTTTCATAGGTACTGTGACGGGCCTAAAATATCCAATATATATATATGATCTACAATCCTGGTGACGACGCCGGAGCAGAAGGCCAGACAGCGGAGACAATAACAACGGAGCGACAATACTAGAGCCGCACGGGTTCTCTAGTATATATATACCGGGTGTCCAAAACCACCCGTACACCCCTTTCAAAACGATGGAAACCATTTCTTACAAACAAAAAATAATACAGAACTAGCTAAATTGGGTACGGTCTACCAAATGGTGATAATTTCAAATCCAAAATCACACCGGAAGTGGCTTTTTCGGACCGGAAGTTGACTTTTTTAAATGTAAACTACCAATTTTGATTATAGAATCGGATTCTGCGTTGAAAAATACATAACTTTTGTCTAAAACATTTTTTGAAAAAAACTAGTTTTCTATCTCTAATACCCCATTAAAGTCAATAATTTTTGGTCATTCATCAGTCAAAGTTACTCGAAACAATAATAGAGAAAAACAAATAACAAAGATTATACGTAAAGACATATGATGAATAGAATCAGCTGTTTATTTTAAACACCTTAGCAATTGAGTAACAGCTGGTCTACACATTGCTTAATTTCATTTTATTTTTTTAAATAAATCATTTGTTTTTACATTTAAGGGTCAAATGTAAAAATAAATTATTAGAAAAAATTAAACTTAGCAATGTGTAGACCAGCTGTTACTCAATTGCTAAGGTGTTTAAAATAAACAGCTGATTCTATTCATCATATGTCTTTACGTAATCTTTGTTATTTGTTTTTCTCTATTATTGTTTGGAGTAACTTTGACTGATGAATGACAAAAAATTATTGACTTTAATGGGGGATTAGAGGTAGAAAACAAGTTTTTTTCAAAAAATGTTTTAGACAAAAGTTATGTATTTTTCAACGCAGAATCCGATTCTCTAATCAAAATTGGTAGTTTACATTTAAAAAAGTCAACTTCTGGTCCGAAAAAGCCACTTCCGGTGTGATTTTGGATTTGAAATTATCACCATTTGGTAGACCTTACCCAATTTAGCTAGTTCTGTATTATTTTTTGTTTGTAAGAAAAGGTTTCCATCATTTTGAAAGGGGAGTACGGGTGGTTTTGGACACCCGGTATATATATATATATATAAAACACGTGAAGCCGTTTTTTGTTAATACTACTCCTCCCTCATTCGTGGACCAATTTCAAAGTTTGAGGTGTCAAAAGATTCATCTCAATTTGTAGTTCTGCAATAAGGTTTTAGAATTTAAAATTTCTTACCCTTAAGGGCGCAAGCGCAATACGCACTCAAAGATTGAGTTCATTACAGAATTGGAATAACACACACAAAATTAGGGCCTATTGTTGCTAAGTTTATTTTTATTATTCATTAGAGACAAATAATATACACATTTCAATAAGATAAAATGAAACTCTTATAAATGAGTTATCAAAACTATTTCGATACAAACGTCATCTATCATTAATAGGCCATTCGTAGATTTTAATAGGCTACCACAATTAGGAGAACAGAAAGTCTGTTTGAGTATTCGTGTACTGCCGACAGAACAGAGAACACGTGATTTTTAAACAAATAACGATAATCTGTTTGGCAAAATTAGTTTCTTATTTGTAAGCCATAATGTTTACAGTTTACTGTTTACAGTCACGTGTTAAGCAATTCATTGATTGATTACTTGAGAGCTAAGCACACCTAAGTGTGTATTTTAATCTAAAAATGAATGCACTGTGAGTGCAGAATGGAGTAAGATGTTCTGGGTAGCTTTTTTATCGAATTTCCATATATGGTAGGTGGCACATTAAAACCTAGACCCGGGAACAATATACTTTTAGCGATGTCCGTGAACGCGATAACTTGAGAATTTTTTTCCGATTTTGATGAAATTTGGCTAAAAGGTGTAATAAAGGACAAACTTGCATGCTATTTTACAAAAAAAAAACTTATTACCCTCCCTGCAGCAGCAAACCTAGGTACTTGTTATACATCATGTTATTTAAATATATTTAAATAGATTTACAGTAATTGAAAATCCAATCGGGCAAATGAGAAATCGTATCTCAAATCAAATCAAATCAAAATACTTTTATTCCAAATATTAAACAATAATAGAACAATACATTACATGGAATTATTCCCCCGGATAGATGTTGATCTGTGATCAGGGGAAGAGTTCTTGTAAACCATTGTTAGGCAATAGTATGCAAAGTATTGAGAATTTGTTCAATGCTAATACTTACAACTACTAGAAATTTAAATACCCCCGCCGCAGCAAACCTGCAGACTAAGCGAATTTCAACTCTGATTACATTATTACTAAAATATTTCCATGAATTAGACATATTATTTATTACCAATTTAAATAACATTAGATTTAACAAGTGCTTAGGTTTGCTGCTACGGGTAAGGTAAAAAGTGTTTTTTGACCATACATCAATAGTATAGGATGAAATAAATAAATTTGCCAAATTTTATCGACATATATCCATAAACTAGTAAACTACAACAGTTTTCATTTTCTCCATAAGAATAACATGGGAATTTAAAATTACACTATTTTTGAATTTTCTCCTTGACCGTTAGGCACACAATAGCGCTTCAATGTACTACACTATTTATTTTTTTAAGCTCTACAAAACAGTTTAAAAAAAATTGCAAAATGTTTTGTTATTAGGGCAAAAAATGGGAAAAACCCTTTTTTACCCCATAAAACCCCCCATAAACCCCCGTTCCCATGGTCCGATTATGCTGGTTCGCGAACTCGTTCGAATAAACGTAGGTTTACACGTTTGTACCAAATTTCATCAAAATCGGATCATTTTTGCTCGAGTTATCGCGCTAACGGACACACACATATATATATATATATAATAAATAAATAAATATATATATATATATACAGGGTGAGTTTTAATTGTCCCCCCCCCCAACTTTTTTCTACATTTTTTCAAATATCAATCCCAGACCACTTCCAAACATTGTTCACCACTTCATTTTGACAAGGTGGTCATTTCCGGCCGCCATCTTGGATCCGCCATATTGGATGCAAAATATTTTTTTCAGATGTAAAGGTGGGGTTGTGACCCATTATTGCGAACTAGATTTT